GGAAAGGGAAGGAACTTGTGTTAAATATCTGGCTAAAGACTCTTACTGAACAAATACCAGTGGCATAAAGTGGCAACAAAGTAGATTTACTAGAGTCCTGTACTTAAATACAATTTTGAGGGACTTGTAGTTTACTTGAGTATTTAAATGTTTTACTACTACTACACCATAGTGTAGAGGTAAATTGTGTACTTTTAGTCCACTACATTTATTTAATACCTTTAGTTAATTTACAGATTTGGATAAATGATGTGAAATATAATCTACTGTTAAATCAGACTTTAGTTCCACCTTGAGTAATTTCACAAGCTACCCTGCAGTATACAAAGTCATTCAAACTAGCTGCACCTTTACAAGCTTTGATGACACTGTAATGATCAGTCGTTATAAAACATTTCATATTATTCTGGAATGGGCCAATCATAATGAATACTTTTACTTTTGGTACTTTAAGTATATTTTGATGTTGATTAGGGTTGCAAAATTCCGGGATTTTTCAAAGATGGAAACTTTCCATGGGAATAAACGGGAATTTATGGGAATAAACTTGGAATTTTCTAAATTGAAGGTTGACTCTTCATAGGGAACTTAAATATAGTTGGGGAAAGTATATTTTAGCATAATCTTGACTAAAACAAACAGATGCCATTCAAGTACACTTGAATATCCATGCACACTGCTTACTGCATGGCTATTGAGACCACACCCCTCCAGGCACTGTGCATTCCTCCATCACATTCACAGATGATTTCGAGAAGACCGGATCACACTTTTGAGCCCAAAGCACAAGACAAATGAAGCCACTTCTTTTCATCTAACATTTTGAATGGGACTTTGTGGGGATTTTTGGATGGGGGGAGCATTTTTGTTCATTTTTTAATGAGTGGGGTTGGGGGGGATGAGTAATATTTACTCAACATTCCTGTTTTCGTTCTTCAATGAAATAAATAATTGTTCAATAAAATAATTAAAACTTGTTCTGTTCTACTTAAAAACATTTTTTTATTTGAAATGTCATGTTTTTTGTTTAATTTTGCATCGAATATTTTCAAAATTCCCCAGCTTAACTTCCCATGGAAACTTTCCGGAAACTCCCCTTTGCAACCCTAATGCTGATACTTATCTACTTTTACTTGAGGAACATTTTGAATGCAGGAATTATACTTGTAACACACTATTCCTACACTCTGTTACTTCAAATTTGAAGTACTAGATCTGAAAACTTTTTCCACCTCTGACAAATACACATGCGCACAGAGGGAGTGAGTATGCCATTTCTTTTGGACATTTTGCAATTTCATGTTACTTGCCTCATGAGCAAAGACATAACAGGGTTTGAAGGGAAAATAGTTGAGCAGTGCTGGACTGGTAGTTATTATATTTACTTAATTACTTGTAATTGTAAAAAATGTAAGGTACTTTACTTTTGTAATTACATGTCCTGCAACTTTTACTATTCTATTCCACTACAATTCACAATTCAGAGGCAAATATTGTCCTTTTATAATGCACTACATGTATTTGATGAATTAGAATATTGAGATTGATAACCAAAATATTTGTTCATGTATTATTAAAAGGTTAAAAAATACACATACACACCTCATTAAAGTGCCGAGGCAGTTCGTCTTTTGGACAGAGAAAGCGGGATATGTGTTTCCGATACACCACCGCAATCACCACCAGAGCCACTGCCATCGCCGTGACGACAAACGTCACCACGGCTGCCACCCAAGGAGCCTCTTCATCTGCAAAAGAAGCAGAGAAACACAGCTGGGATTAGCACGTTTCTAATGATGATGTAATGTTTTGACACAAAATGCTTTTAGATCTGAAGCAGTCATTGCAGCTTCCACTCTTCTGGGAAGGCTTTCTACAACATTTTGCAGTGTGTCTGTGGACATTTTTGCCTATTCATCCAGAAGAGCATTTCTGAGGTCAGACAATGAGGTCAAGTTCTTCCACACCAAAACTCATCCAACCATGCCTTTGTGGACCTTGCTTTGTGGGGCACAGTCAGCTGGAACAGAAAGGTTCATCCCCAAACCGTTTCCACAAAGTTGGAAGCATAGAATGATTGAAAATTACTTGGTAAGATGAAGCACTAAGAATCCCCGTCACTGGTACCCAGGCCAACCCCAGAAAAACAACAATAGCATATCCCTCCTCCACCAAACTTTACAGTTGGCACGATGCAGTCAGGCAGGTAACGTTCTCCTGGCATTCGCCAAACCCAGACTGGTCCTTCAGACGGCCAGATAGAGAAGCGTGATTAGTCACTCCATAGAACACGTTTCCACTGCTCCAGAGTCCAGTGGCGGCATGCTTTACACCCCTCCATCCAACGCTTGGCATTGTGCTTGGTGATGTACAGCTTGATGCAGCTGGTCGGCCATGAAAACCCATGAAGCTCCCACAGTTCTGGTGCTGATATTAATTTTCAGAGCTGGTTTGGAACTCTGCAGTTATTGAGTCAGCAGAGCTTTGGCCACTTTTACGCACTATGCGCCTCAGCACTCTCTCCCCCCCCGTGGAATATCTAAGAAAGAAGACATTTCAGGAACTGACTTGTTGCAACGTTGGCATTCTATTGCAGTACCACGTTGGAATTCAGTGAGCTCTTTAGAACGACCCATTCTTTCACAAATGTTTGTAAAGGCCGACTGCATGGCTAGGTGCTTGATATTATACACCTGTGGCAATGGGACTGAATGAAATACCTGAAGTCAATGATGAAGAGGGGTGTCCCAATACTTTTGTCTATATAGTGTATCTGGCAAATCAGATGACTCTGGGCACAGCCGTATTGCCCTGGTTGAGATTTGAGCAATAAGCGCGTGTACATACACTTACTGTAACTGATAGCATAAAAGAAGCTATCTTTAAGTGGCAAATATGGAAGGAAACGTTTTTATTAGCCCTGTCGCCCTCTGATCCCTCTCAGTGTGCAACCTAAATGATGACGCCTAAAGGAAAACATTATTACAAATGAATGCATGCTGATCCTCCAGAACACACATATGGCCAGTCCGTCCCTGTACACTATAACTACTTGCAGTTGAATTGCGAGTATTAGTACCGGATTGACTTCAAAATATTACTTCTCACCTACAAAGCCATCAACAACCTTGCCCCCCCTACCTCAGTTAACCTCAGATGCTAACCTACTACAGCCAATCAGGACAAAGCTGCAGCCCCCCCAAGGCAGGCCAACACTCTTGAATCCTTCAAAAAATATCTCAAAACTCACTTATTCACTCTAGCTTTCAAACTCTGATCAACAGCTCCACGTTAACACTGTAGATGTAAGTATTTGATGATTTATCGCAAGTGACAACGTCATCGCAACATTCAACAATGTTACGCATATCGCACGTTTTTATGATATCGTGCAGCTGGGATGTTCTTCATATTTGCCATAGTATTGGCAAAGAGGGAAATTCAGGGATCAGACATTTTACTTTTCTACATCCTGAAGGGAGCAAGAGTTTCAGAAATGTAATGGAAATCCTTTTTCAGTCAGTAAGAACCAGAAATGTGAACCTCATGGAGGAGCTAGAAGAACAAAATATTTGATGTCGATGAGGCAGATTAAAAGATTACCAGCATTTCCCCCACTGTGTTTTTAGAAATGAATCAATCCAGTAAAGAGCGTACCGATGGTGGTGCTCTCACAAACAGCGGTGCTGGGCTGGCTGAGGTGTTTGGGCCTCCTCCTGGTGCTGACCTGGACCTGGACGCAGTACCTGGTCCAGGGCTCCAGGTTACTGAGAACCACCCGGTTCTGCAGGATGTTGCTCATGTTCTTGGTCTGTAGGAAAAGCAGAGGAGTGTTTAGGAGGGTGGAGGTGTGCAGCGGCTACAGGACACTACAGAGGTCACAGATAACCATGCTGCACTCTTATCCCCCCCCTCAGTTCACCCCATGCTCTGAATGCTATAGAAATAACTTATAATGCGTTGCTCTAGTGTGCCACATTGGAACCTTTTGAGATCTAAACAAACCCAGTGTTTCCCACAGATCTGAAATATACTTGGGGGCGTGGTGGTAACGGGGGGGGAGGGGGGGACGGTCGAGGTGACATGCCTTTGTGACGTGCAACAACATTAACATTAACTTTTCTGTTGGTCGCTTGTTAGCAGACCCTTCACGCGATGGCAGAGCGAACAGGTACATGGGCCCATAGTGATAGCCCTATAGTTTAAATCTACTACCCACAAATAAACATATGGACATGGGTTACTATTTAAAAAAAGTTGTAAATGTATTTAGGAACCTATCAATGTGATTTTAAGTGGGGGTGGACCTCAAATCCTCTAGGGGGGTCCAGGGGCATGCTCCCCCAGTAAGATTTGTTTTTACATTTTTTAGTTAAATGCATCAATCTGGTGCATTTTGAGGGGAAAATAAAGAGACTAGATCTATGGGAACACCTATGAAACAGAACTGTTTACATTTCAATAATCAAAAAATCATGGCCATAACCAATAACATACCATATCCAATATGAAAAAACACTAAAACTTGTTTATTTATTTATTTTTGGTTCATTTACAGTTGTGAGTGTGTCTGTGCTCCTGAATCAGCCTCTCCTGTCTCCCTCCTCTCCCCCTGCTCCTCTTTGAGACAGCAGCAAAGACCAGTTTTAGCTCTCAACAAGTTTTAAAAGTGTATCTTACCTTTTTTCACCTAGTTAACATTTTATTTTTTATTCGTGCATATTTTACTAATCACTACCCTCTCAAGTGGAAATATGTGTTTACATAAATGATGACCAAACCATTTGAGACCCACTGAGAACTTAGACTAAGTTAATATCTAAAGACTCAGAGTCCTTTACCTCACCTGAGCTGAATGACACACAGAGACCAATCAAGGGCTTTGATTTATGATCTGTATGACAGTGGCCATGTCGGCAGGCCACATCATGTGGACAGCCAGTCACCCTGTGTGAGGCAGGCCACATCATGTGGACAGCCAGTCACCCTGTGTGAGGCAGGCCACTTAACAGGCCAGGCCATCGGGAAACCCCCCGGTCCTCCCGATGGCCAGTCCGGGACTGGGTACAGGAGGCGTAGAGCGAGGGATCATTGTCCACAAGTTAATCGATCGCAGATGGCATCGTGGTCGCGGACGAATACAAAAAAACTCAAAACATTTTAAATAAATATCGCAAAATATACTTGGGCGGCTGTTAATATACCTGGGCGGCCCCCTAGTCTATGTGTGGGAAACCCTGAAACCACACCTAAAGAGTTCATCACACCTTTTGCCTCTGGCCGTCCTGCCAGTAGGTGATGTTGTAGGTAGCTGAGCTGTAAAGCGCTCTGAGTGAAGAGATCCTGAACACTGGATCTTGAATGATAACCTCGATGGCAGCAGCATTGGAGAGGAGAGAGACATTGGGTGAAGTGATGAAGGCTGAGGAAGAGATGGAGAAGAGTTATGACAACGATATAGCCTCCCTGGGAAAAACAAACTCACCCCTCATAACAAAAGTCACTCTAGCTCTTCTTCTATAAATTCACACTACCCCTATTATCCCTTTTCCACCTAGGCGGTTCCAGGGCCGATTTTCGTGTTTCCAATTCTGTGGCGCCGGCTCTCGGCCCCAAAAACAGTTTTAACTGCGGCACCAACACTCAAGACACCAAGAACCGGGGTCCGGGTACCTCAGAGGCTTGAGTGGAGCAACAACAACTCATGCCAAAAGCTCAAAGTTGTTGCAAAGGAGAAGCGCAGAGATCACAAAGTGGCTAGAACACTATTACAGAGCATTTGTTGAACATAATGTGTATGTTAAGTGTCTTTGAGCACTTGTAAAAGCGCCATAAAAATAGTATGTATTATTATTAATAGATTTATAAATGCTGTGCAATATTATCCAGGGATACTTGAGACATATTATTTCATATCCACCATACTTTGAATGACAACCTATTTGCTAGCATTGTGGAACAAGTATATACTTAATCAAATATTTTTTAGGGAATAATTAATATCCTATAGGTCTGCGTGGTTAATGTTCGATGACAATTAAGACCAGCACTTTTTGCTTTGTTGGCCCTATATTGGGTTGTTGATTTTTCAGAATGGCTTTGGTGGCTGGGCTAACATCATCCATGAAATATGATAGAAACTTAAACAAACAACACTATGTTGTTACATATTGTCAATTTAAAAGTTAATAATATATAATCATTGGGAATTATGCATCATGGGACATTAGGGGTTTGGAATTCAGGAAGTGGTTGGATTACTACTTTAAAGCGGCAGCTGGCATTAGGAAATGGTTAATGCTGGTCGATGAGAGGCGAAACACTGCAGCGCATTTTTGAGGGCCCAAACGGTGATACAACATAATCCATGTCATGTATGTGACGTTATTTGGTCCCAAAAATACTTTAAGCTAATTCAACTACCCAGGACGAACACTTGAATAGCCCTTTTTTAAATCATTGGTATCTTAAAATTGTAAAATGCGCTTAAAGCCAAATCAAGAGTTATTTTCCCTTGTAAATCATTTGACTTCTCAAGCCGTATTCAGTTCTCTTATTAAATCCATGCATGAATGTAATCCCTGTTATTGAGAGGGATAATCAGTGATGTACACAGTGATGTCATGACGTGGCTTTTCTCGTGCTTTTGTTGGTGGAAAAGCAAACGGGTTCTGACTTAGAAAGTTGAACTAACAGTGAAGAGAACTAGCCCCAGCTATGAGGTTGGGACTAATTTCAGTGTAAAAGGGGTATATTTAACCTGCAACCATCTCTCGTTTGCATTTCTGCCCTCCTATCCAGTATTTTATATGGACAATTAATGATAATAATCCATCGTAAAATTGTTTCTCACACGACATGTTTTGCAGATAATCTGTACTTGCTGATAAATGTTGGAATGCATCTACTCACTGTCTCTGTCCAAGGTAATGTTGTTACTTTCCACCCAGGCGGAGGTCTCTGTCCCCGACTGCGCCCGCACTCTGCCTGTATACTTTCCAAACTGATATATGACTTGTGGAATGCGGGTGAAGTCACATTCAAGGGTGGAGATATTCACACAGCTCGCTCTGTATGAATTCACTAAGCATCTGTGGACAAAATGATGTTATTATTAGTTTGTCATTGGTGATTTAAATTTCAGGTTTGATGAACCACTGCTGTGGGCGTGATACTGTGTGTGAGTTGTCATTGTGTTTCTGTGTGTAACTTCCCACAAAGCTAGCAGTATGCCTTGCTGTCAAAGAAATATCTGATCATGACCTCAACCGTTATAACCCTCACTGTCCATGACATGGACAGTCTATAGCAAGCTTACTGTTTTTAAGCCTTGATTTTGTAATGTTGGTCGCCACCATCTTTTTTTTTTCAACTCAAAGTGACATTAGTTGGTGGAGTGCTGGAAAAGACTGTTATGGCAGAATCCTTATTACAGCGTGTTTCTCGCTTATTTATTAAGGTAACACAGGTCCGAGAGGCTCCATTGCCTCTTCCGCAATTATCAGCAGATGTACCCATGTTAAGTAAATTGGCAAAGGTCAGAGGAATTCCAAGGGAGGTCTTCCTCAGATATAATACAGTTAAAGTCTAAAGTTAGTGGTTCACATCCAGCATGCATTAGCTAAGAAACGATAAGGATGTTGGTGTGTTGGTTAATGTAAGGAAAATTGTATGTGGTCATGTGCAAACATATATATAGTTTGTTAATTGGATAATTCATATCCTGCAAGACTCCTAAGGAAGTCATGAGATGATGACCTTTCTACATCATGTCCAAGTTTAGGAGACCTGACAATGTGTGTGCGTTAAAAATGGTTAGGGAACATGTTTGTGTGTCATTTAGAAAACGTATATATCTGCCCTCTGTTTCTGGTATTCGGGGGGCATTTCCACGATTGACTGCTGCGGCAGGTGATGTACTCCAAGATTATTATTGTTGTTGCGCAACTGAATAATAATTAATCTCAACGATGTTTGTGTTTTATTGACCTCTCTCTGTGTTAATATTTAAGGTTGGTGAGCCTGCCATACATTGCACTAACAACAGGCAGCCAATTTGTGACGGACAGTTTTTATGAAGTAAAACACACTTTGTATGTGACATTCATATTCACACTGTTATATCTATCTATTCTTATGCATAATTATATTTACACACTATACCCTACCCTGCTGTTTATATATCTTATTTATTTTCAGTTTTAGCATGCAGGACATCATTAACTTTTAGGCTGGGACAGGAATTGTACACACCTTCGATAAAATGCACGGTCTACTTCTTTATTTATTTATTTATTTGTGTAATGTATGTCAGTTTATATTTCAAAATGTTGTTCTATGCTAGTTTTTATCTTATATGTTTGTCTGAATGTATAGTTTCTTAATACTTAGGCGGGAAAATCTGTCCTTAAGAATGTCATTGTACAGTGCAACTGCCTGTTACAGTAGAGAGACAATACATACCTTGAATATTGAAAGGGTTAAAACACCACAAGGTTGGTAGCAGAGCCTTGCGGAGAAAACAGCGAGCTAGTTTGGGATTTATGGTTACGTCCCCTGCTGGCTTGCGGCGCTATACAGCAGTCATCTGTTTGTGCGTTGACAGTCAGCGGTAAACAAGGTCAAAGGTGAAATAATTGTAACTTTGAGCGCAACCCTTGGCGACAAGTGCGACGCTGAGGGTAGTGCACCGCTCTCTCCAGAGAAACACAACGACATCATCAGTGCTGACTGAGGCCCCGGCCCCACGAGGACGAAAACGGTCGTTTGCGTTACTGTTTAGTGTCATATAGACTGTTCGGCCACACGAGGACGACCGAATATGA